AACATACACATATTTGGCATATTTTTCTGAAATTATGTCTCATTTCTTTCAAATGGATGCCACTGAAAATCTGAGCCCACACTATATTTATATATTAATAAAAAATCTGAACCTCCATTGCCCACCCTCTTTTTCTTGAAATCTCAAACAGTAAGGCCACAATCCTACCTGTTAGTGACTTTCAGAGTTGATCCAGAGTGGCTTCAACCAATCCTCTCTCTTCCTATGTTTAAGGAAAATGCATTCGGTCCTCAAAATGTTTGCTTGCCCACAGGTTAGGGGAAAGGTCATGCACTACACTGTCACCTGTGAATGTCAGTGATGACTGTTTTTTGAAAAATTCAGATGGTGGATAACTTGTTCTTCCTTAATTTTTTTCTCCTGCAATTTGACTTTAAAATCCTGAGAAGTAGTAAAACCCTGTTAAAACAGTTTTTAAAAAAATATTTTTAGTCTGCAAAATTGATTAAAGTTAATTTTAACAAAATTTTGCCTTTTTTATCCTCCTATTTGAGACATTATTAAATCTCACCAAAGCTGCTTTTCCATGATAACCTTGTTGAATTAAAAATTATAATTTTTGCTCCATGTCCTGTTCCTATCTGCACATAAAACACGTGGTAGAATCCTCAAAGACACGTTTTGAAAACTTTTCCGTGGTCTGTATATTCCATGAAAAGAAAACTTTTGTCCATACATCTGCAGATATGTCTCTGGACCAGCCTGGATATTTGCAGTGGTGTTCAAATCTTTTTCAGTTACCAGCCAATAAACTATGGGTCCTTAGTATCTAGCACAATTTTACTCGATTTTAAAAATGCAGCTCTGAAGACCCCCAATCCTCCTGTTCATTCTCCAGGATTGTTTGAATGTACTCATTGTCCTCGAGGTCATACAATTTCTCGGGTTTGATACTCTGCAGTAATGGTATATCACTTTGGTGAGAAAAACGTTTTCCCTTTTCACAATAGGTGTTGGCCTCTTCACATCTCTATGTAAACCAACATGCATGAGAGATGAATAGACCAGGTTATGAGAAAGTTGCGAAAAATCGTTCCGTGTTTTCACTCCTGTTTTCACGTGGTGGATAACAAGAAGGTGCAGTTGTAATAGTTATTGATTCTCATTTAGAAGAACTGCTCAATATCTGACATATTGATGAAGGCCCAATCGTTCTCTTTGCTTTCAGAGAAAACATTAATGCGTGCAGTCGGACAACACACGGGCAGGCAGTGTGAAAACACAATGCCGCGAAGAGTAATAACATTGACTACGAACTGGGTCTCCCTTTTTCATGCTTAATAACCCTAACATTATCGAAAACTTATAGTTCTTTTCTCAGATGAGCTTATATTAGCCAATGGGGCATATTGGTATTTGTTCTCATTGATTGATCTAATCGCTGAACCAAATTTGATGGGACTGACTATCCAAATTTGCCCTTCGTATCAAGGGGTAGAATTATATATCATTCATTTCATTGCCGTTCAGTTTCATTTGCTTGTGTAAGCATATTAAATTGAGGGTAAACGCTGGTTTTGTGAGCCTGCGTAAACAGTCAGGCTGGTTTATAAAAACATGGCTTTCTTGCTGAATGGGAGCTATGAGACCTTTGTTTTTATTGGTCATAATGGTAGATCTTGGCTCACCTGAATCAACGCCTCCGTTTTAGCAAAATTTCCTTTTATTTTTTAAACGTTCCTCAAACATCCTACCAGTAATGAATTTCCTCTGAGGACATTTTTATTACACCTTCATATCTGCCACCTTTGTGGAAACTTACAGGAAGATGCAGAATTCATAAAAAGAAAGAAAATATGAAAAGTGAACCCTGTGCTTCCCGTGCAATACCATTGTGGCACGATTATTACGCACAATTAGCCATGTTTGGAAACGTAATGTATGTTTATTGACATCTGGCAATATGGTTGACACCTTAGATGTCAAAGGGTACGCTGTATTTGACCGATGGCCATTAAACCAGACTAATGGCTGGCCAAAGGTTCTGAAGATCCTCTGCCCTTTTTTATAGAAAGACGATTTAATTTCTTGATACATTGACATTATTTGTGTGATTTAGGTTCTGGCACAGTTTCCTGTATAGCTTTATCCCTGTGGACTTTTTGACAACACAAATCTGATGTCATATAAAAACTAGAAGTTCACTTGGTCCTCAAGTACATACTGTATTTCATTGTATCAATTCTTGAAAAGCAAATATGTATGTTTTTTTAAAACAGTTATAGTATTCTCAGTTGGATACAAAAATTATTTTTAAAAAACATTCCAGTCTATTAAAAGTTTCATATTTTGACTACTGGTTTATTAGCTGTGACAGAAATAACTCTAATCATTTAATGTTATCATGTGCTGCATGGGGTAATGCAGTCATATTTTGCCATCTTAATTCAAACCGACTGGTGTGATTTCAAAGACCACCGTGTACTGTATGGATCAGCAAGCTCTTGTAACCACTGATCCTAATCTGTTTTAACTGGATTAGTAATCTCAATAGGCCCAAACCAACAGCTCACATAGTGGGATTACTAACCTGACCAATAGAGATCATTAATACTGACCACTTGAGATTTCTACTTGACCAATAGATATCATAATACAGAATTTCTGAGTTTGAACCTGGTACTTCGAGGTTTTGAAATACACTCTCCCACAGCTTAGGGTGTGTTAGTGTAAGTGTAAATTGTAGTTTTTTGTCTCATAAGTAAGTTTTAATATTTTAATATTATTATTTAAATAAAATTTATCACCCTTTGACCCTTCCCTATCTTCCACTTTGCTAAATATGTAAGCCAGCAAATAAATACAGGTTAAGGGGAGGGGGTACTGTAAAAAAAATGGACCTTTTTACCCCCTTTGTTAAACCAACTTGAAAAATGGTATATAAAACCAAGACTGAATTTTGGGTTCAGAGCAATTACTTTTCCAACCAAAAGGGCAGTGCTTTTGAACCTTTCAAACCCACCTTGTCCTGCCATCAAATCTCTCTGCCAACCTGTGTGCTTGTACATGTATATGTTAATTAAAGGTGATATGATAACTTAATCAGCACTGTTATCCTAGCCTCACTTAATTAATTGGTTTTGGGTTATCTTCTGTTACTAGGTATGGCACTGCCTTAAATAACAGTGGTAGAAACTTAGAGGGCATTCCCAGAGATTTAGATCGGTCTTACTAGATTGACCTAACTCCCTGGGGGGTTCACGCTAAATTGCAGTCAGCCGACCGCGCACAGAAGTTAATTACGCCTTTGCAGCTTGTAGTAGGCGGGACGGACATTTAAGCCGGATTATCTGACAGTAATCTAGTGAGACTCCCCACGGGGATAGATCAATCTAAAATCTATGGGAATGCGCCCTTAGTTTGCTAAATCAATTTCTGAGATAATTGTGGTCCTATGATAAAGTCGCTCACAGAATACATTGTTTTAAAAATTCACACAGTGGGAGATGGACCTCAAACAGCAAATAAATAATTTTCTAAGGTGCAGTACACTATATGCTAAACATTTTATAAAATAGTGATCAAAAACTAATTATGAGTTACTCTTTTTAAGGAGATGGAGACTGGTGAACTCCTTTCAAAAGAAAAAAAATAATATTTTGCTATATGAAGGTCTAACTTGTAACTTTAAAATTGAGCCTCCGAGTTGTATGAATGGAAGGCTATCAATCAACCATACAGATTGTCACACAGTTAGTCATAAAATATGTCTAAATTAAACTGTCCTCTTGAATTCGTGTAATTGTTGCCTTACATAATGAACTTGTATGTATACTTCACTTAGATTGGCTTTGTGTACAGAGCTCTCCATAAGGTTAATGAATAACCCTAAATTAATGTTTTTTGATTAAGTCTATAAATCAGCCACTGTCCCATGTGATCTGAGACCATTAGGTGACTCTGTCATAGTGCCACTGTCTGGGTAGAAGCTTATTTCCAGTCACAGAACTAAAATGTCGCTGTTACTCTGATATGAAGAGGTCTTCTCCCTCCTTTCTTCCCTCTCTCCCTCTATGTCCTGACCTCCCCCCCCCCCCCCACCACACACACACACACACACACACAGCAGACACACACACCTTCCGATATAAAAGTTTTTTTGGGGAGAAGCAGGAAAACACTGTCTTGATTGACACTACCATATTATAAAATTTGTTTTACTTGGCACTGAAATAAAATGTTACCACTCACTTTACTAAGTTCTAGTAGGTTACTTCTGCAGAGGTACCCTTTCCAGCTCTCTCCAGCACCCCCCCCCCCCCCAAATACCCTCCCCCTGTGAATTCAGCTTTGGAAGAAGAAGAGAAACCACGGAATGTAGCTTGACAACTGATACTTAAAATGCACAATTTTGATTTCATCAAGTTTGGGGAGTTTTATACCTGAATTTGCAAAAGAATTGAAATCAATTCATTGAATTTGATATAATATGTATGATCCCTCTCAACTAAGCATCAGTTTAGTGTTATGTTCAGTGAGTATTACAAATGTTAATGTAAGTGACATAGTTTGAATATTTAATTACAAATATCACATTATTTATGGCTTTTCAATCTTGCTGTAAAGCCCTGGTCTAATCTGTTAGTTATACCCTGCACTTAGTTGGTGAATGGCAAACTTCAAGTACTACAGTTTGTTGTAAAATCCAATAATTTAATTGGATTTTGATCTCTGATTTATTGCATTTAATAATGCAGTCTGTGAATAAGTTTTTAAGCAATAAATTGATTTAGCACCTATCTGCTTGAACATTTTTGTTAAGTTTGGCATTTTTGGTTGACTTAACACAATTTAAGAAGTTAATTTTTCTTTATTTAACAAAAAAAAAATCCATTTTGATGAGAATGATGAAAATTGGGCATTTTTAGAAGTTAACAAAATATTTTACCAAAATGAAAAAAAAAATTGATCAGATAAAGAATGGCCATAATCAATCATGTCTAGAGAACATGAAAGGTGAAAATAAAGCAATGAATTACCTTCTGTACTTGTGGTCAACTTCAGGTTGTATCATCAATGGAAAAATAAACGGCATATATATATATAATCCACTTCTGCTTCAGTGTTGTATCGGATAGTCAACTATGTGACAGTGTTTCTGTTATTAAATGTTTTTTTTTCCCAAAATTTGAAAGAGATCAGTACCTGTGAACTCTCTCTGTTGTCCTCTCCCTCAAAATATTTCAAAAACAAAACACTGCTATTCTACAGAACAACTGCGCCCAAAACATGCCACAGTGTGCGGTACGTTGTGTAGACCACAACTGTTACAATGTTTTGTATCAGTGAACGAGTGAACAGCGCTGAGCTGTGATTGGTCTGTTGGAGGGATGCTCAGAGCATCTCTCTCAGTGAAATCAGGATGTTTTTGTTGCTCCATTCAAGGCAGGTAAAATGGGAGTCGGGTTTTTATCTGACTTTTCATTTATGTTTGGTTTAGATAGATGAAATTTTGCTTTATAGCCCAGGCTTGTTTAAGAATGATCGTTGCTGAAACCTCTATGAAGATTTTATCAGAAATTTGATATTTTGGAAGAAAAGGGCAAAACAAGGGCACAGCCTGTCACCCCTTGCCATCTTGTATAATACTGTGGTCCACCACGCTCATGTCTGCACACACGTTTAGTCACAGTCACATGGGCCAAGAAAAAACATTTGTCTAAGGCTCTAGTTAACTAGTAACACTTGTCCTCTATGGATTGTTTTGTACATCTTGTTCTTTGTATGCCAAAAGAAAAAAATGTGTGAAAAATATGTATGGTTACATCTTGTTTTTATCATAATTTGGAATAGAAAATAGTTTTTGCTACTGGTATTAATTTTGTGTTTTATCTAAAGGCTTTTTGTAGGGTTTATTGAAGGATAACAAATTTCACTTTACCAAGTTTGTAATGGAATTTTTCTTTGACAACAGAACTAATTCTCTAGTCATTTTTTGTCTTTAAACTTAACAAAAACCACATGGAAATCTAATAGAACTATTGTAACTGATTTACAAGCAATGTATGTGTAATCCAGAAAAACATCATTTCACCTGTTTCAATTAGAAAAAAATTCTTTCACGTTTAACCAAAAGACACTCTGACAAATCCAAATGCCCCTAGGGGCTGCAAGTGACACCTAAAAATCACAAGATGTCGTTACTGATCAAGATCCAATTTGTGTCAATGTATTTGTTTCAATTCAAATCTCCTGCAAATTCCAAACACTTAAAAAGTAGCAATGTATTGAAAAGTAAGTCAACCCAGTACATTTTAATTAGCCTGGATCTTTATCTTTCCATTTCCTAATCAAGTAAACTAACATTTGTCTCTAAGTGCCAGAGTAGCTCCCTCGCTGCGTGAACGACAGGCGAAGAGTTCCTATCATTAAAAAAACTCGACTTTGAGACAAAAAACAACAAAGGAAACTGCAGGTGTAAGTTTTGCTTGTAATTTTGAACCAGAAGCTTATCCACTTATTCTTGTTAAAATGTAAACCTATACGCAGTCGTTGCTTAATTGCGGTCAGTTTACAAGATGGGGATTCAGAAAAGATAAGCAAGAGGCAGTTTTCCTCAATTTTTTCTGATATTTCTTTTCTCTTCTTTACGTACAGTTTAAGTAAATGTGCAAATAATTATTTATGAGAATTTTTTCATATATTACAAAATCATATATCCCAAAAATGATGAGTGTATGAGTTATAACTATGGACTATATGTTCAATCAGATCAAGAAGTTGTACACCTTCTTGATTAGATTGACAGTTGCATTTACAATGTTGTATTTCAAAAGTACCAGATGGAAATAGCCACTGAAATACATCAAATTGAAATTGACAATTTTTTTTGTTTTGACCCAAATCTTAATTGTTATATGCTCACATATTACCAAATGACTGCAGTACGAGGATAGCTAATTCTGATTTTCAGCTCAGTTTATTTAAAAAAAGAGAAATATTTTATAGTTATCTATGTCCACCTACTGCCATTCTGGTCCCCAGTGATAAAAATTGATCTTTGACAACAGAAGAACAAGTGGAACGATTGCCATGAGCGACATGACCTCCCAAGATGGCCGAGATAGATGTTCTAGAGAACGGAATCCACCGCTGACAATTCATGATAAAGAACTAATCAGAAGTAGCAGCTCCAGCAGGGAATGTGCTACAACTTTTACATAATGCCAAGTTTAACACTGTTTTTAGTGGGTTTTGTTTATGTTTAAAAGAGATGTATGTTGATTTTTTTGTTTTTGCTACATATCACCTATTTCCATTTATTTTCGATTGAGTTTTAATTTATTGAATTACTCTCTGTCTGTATTTTGTCATTATATTCTTCATTCTTTTCATATGTGGCTACAGCGACTTATTTGAGGGAGTAAATTTAAATCAGACAAAAGAATGTTTACACTTGAGTACTAGCATTATACATGTACATGTAATAAAGTGAACTATGAATCGATTTTTTAAGACAATGGATAAGGGGGTAATAATTTATTATTCTCTTAAACTCTCAATGCTAAAATCTCAAAACTGCAAAGAAACTTTGCAATTTCTCCCAATTAAGCGCCTTTATTCAGAAGTCGGCCAGCTGTAAGAATGCTAAATGTCAGATTGCGAGAAAATTGAAATAATAGATCTTCTCAGTTTCAAGTCTGCGACCTTGGAGCTGAACCCCCTTCTCTCTCCATTGTTTTCATAGCTACCTGAGAGGTATTTGTACAATCTGCCTATCAAGAGATGGTGTTGGCTTAAAGGATAACTCTACTCCAGAGGAAAATATTGTGAAAATACAGCTATCTGTTGATATGATAGCGAAGCGGCTGTTTATTTTCCTGCGAGGAGCAGTGTTTACAGTAGGGACTATTTGAAGTTTTTGGTCCTTGCATGATTTTTATCATTTCAGATGCCAAAAATGTGTAAAACATGGCCATGTATTTTGAAATTAAGCAGTGAGATAGTTGCAGAAGAAGAGAGAAATGTTATGAAAACCGAGTTGTCTAGAAATATGTTCTCTCTCTCTCTCTCTCTCTCTCTTCACATCTTTCTACTTTCAATTTATATGACTTCATAGTTTGAGGTGAAAGCAAATACATGCGTTTTGCAAAATGCTGTGCAGAATTCCATGCATTATTTATTCTGCCTGCATATGTTTGAAACAGAAAATGGTTTCATTAGTTATGGTACAATAATTGTAATGTACTAGTCATTTCACATCTTAAATAATGCATGATATATACACATATACACATATAATATAAACACAAAATCTGTTATTGAAAATATATACAGTAACATGATTTGCATTCATCTAACCACATTTTTTGCTAAATGTAGTGTTTTATTTGTGCCAAGTAGATTACAGTATAAGTGCTGTTATTTTGTTTTGCTTTTTAAAATTTTTTAAACTGTTGGTAAATTAACGAAAATTTAAAAATGGAATGTTTATCTCTAGATTCAAAAAGCTATATTAACTTAAAAAGAAAAAAAATTAACTGGACTGGTATTTTGGTCCCGGTTCATTTATTTAAAATTACGTTTTCCATTTCATCAACAAAGAAACTGTATTGTGTCACCCCGCTCCAAAAGTTACGTCTTCGCAGATCACAAAATAAATTCATAATCACATATATAAGAATGTGTAACTGACTTGCATTACAGCTTCTGTCCCAAAATTGCTATAGTGTAAATGTCCAATTGTTTATAATAGTTAAAACATTAGTTCTGAAGCAGTAAATGTTGTTTGTTATTGTATCATATTACAGTGTCACAAGTTATGTAATATTGTCTGATAGAATTCCAATAGTTCCAATAAGATCAGAGTCATAAAGTGCAGGGTATATTTATATATACATATGCTTGGTCAATGAACCTGGAAGATATCTGAATTAGAAAGGAAAGGTGGCAATTGAAAAAACAAACAGTGATAACTCCATCTTTTCAATGGGCAAAAATTCTTAATTTACAGACATTGAATTTTTTTTAAGTCATAAATTCTTGAAATTAGAACATTCCTGTTCCCATTAAGAGATATAGCAACAAAACTGAAAAGCAGACCACCTTGTGTTACTATAATGTCAATTCTAGACAGCAAAAGTAGCACACATGCTACTGAGACACAAAAATATATTTTTAATGATTCCAAAATGATGTATCTGTGAAAGTTTGATAATTTTTCCCCTATTGATAAGATCCAGTCATTACCATAGCTCAGAAATGTATAATCACCCAAGGACACACACAACAACATCACCTGATAGTGACCAAAAAGAATTTTCAAAATTAAGGCTGGACATTAAAAATCATTAACCTACAGGTGCTATTATTTCCATCCCCCACCCACGGCTTATTAAACCCACCGCCTTTTAACAGGCCACTTATTGAATCCCCTTTGTGGTCCGAAAATTTGAACTTCTTAACGACATCTCCTCTTTTGTTTCCTCGTAAGTTTTATCGGGAAGGAGTCTGGGTAGATACAATAGGGGCAGGCTAGAGTTTATCATCAAGGGGCAAATCAAACAGTGGGATTCCTGATGTTCTATGTTTTGTGTGATCTTCCGAGATCATTATGCACATGGGGACTCTGGAAATGTTAAACTGGACTGCTTTGGTAGCTGGGATATGGAAGGATTTGGATATCTTTGGGCGAGGGGTAGGATTTGCAAGCATCTGCTTCTGTTATGATCAGACATGAGCTTTTTCCACTGAAATGCGGAATCCCGCGTTTTATAATTCAGTTCTGATGGTTCCTGAGATTCGTCAAGATCTGCAATAAAATCTGTTTTTTGTTTTTTTTTACTTTTTTTTATAAACCTAGTCTCTTGTCTCTATGATGATACATACAGTTCAATAACTGAACTTGTAAAGTATTGCTTTATAATGCATTTTATGAGGAATTTTTCCTGAAATGTATGTTGACATTTTTCTGCTTTTCCTTTTGTTCTATCTCAGGGAATTTGTTGATTATGCCCCTGTTGTTTGTTGAAAATTTCCCAATAAAGCAACAAAATGTTATTTTAACCTTTTATAAATAATTTGGGAATGATATGTCCTTCAATTAATCTTCAAGCAGCTATGCAAGGCAAAAATTCTTATTGTTGTGATGAAAAATTATGTTATTTATGCATTGAAAATGTTTCTAATTTGAAACTTTCAAGAAGTAATTCATCATGTATCTATGACATTGTACATAGCAACATCCATTGTGACTATAAAAGGATTATGAAGGATTATCATTAGGATTAACAGTTGTCAATTTGATAGTTGTCAGTAGCAGACAACAAGGCCTGTTTACACAATTTGGTTTATTCCAGGTTCAAGCCAAGAGTGCAAACTAAAACCATTTGGTCCTAAATATAAACTATCTAGAATGTTATGTTGGTCTCTGCTGGGGTAATGGAAGCAGATTTTCAATATTTTATTTTTATTTTATTTATTTATTTATTTATTTATTTATTTATTTATTTATTTATTTATTTATTTTTGTCATTTTCCATTTAAATATAGGGAATAACAAATTTGACCAGATAAGATTTCATGTAAAAAGTTTTCAATGGTGGTTAAGAAATTTTACTTCAGCTTGCAAAAAAAAAAAAAAGATTTGATTAATAGCATTTATTTAATTTTGAGTGAAAGTTACATTTCATTAAACACAATGATATTGGACTTATCTTTCAAATTTTTCTGAAATATTTACACAATTTTGTTTTGTTTCAACCTCACACCTGGATCAAGTATGCGTAAAAACCAGTGAGCAAGTGTAAACATGCTTTCAATTCTGATAGTTTACACATATAGTAATAGGTAAATCTTATTGAAGGATTTGTTATTGATGAATTTGTTTTGATTGGAATTAAGGAGTTAACCTGTGTACCCACACCTGTGGATAGTAGAAGTGAGACGGAAAAGGTTTATTTGGTGAACGTGCATTTGTAGAAAAATTCTACTTCTTTGGCAGCAGAACTTCATTTATGTCAGGTTTTCCAATAGAATTTATTATTGAATTGCTTTTGAATGTGACAGTTAATTTAGTCTTTTCAAGTCTGATGATTTGTCAGCTGTGATGTTCAGTGCTTATGACATTGTTCGCAGAGGTTTGTAGGCTGTTACTATTTTCATGTCCCTCTCCATTATTTTTTCTCAAAAATGTCTTATAAATTCATTTTGTCTTTTGCCAATAGTAAAATGTGATAGAAATTAGTAGACAAAAATAACATTAGATTAATTTAACTTCATAATGCTGTAAATGTAGATGAAAATAGTTATTGACAAAATAAAACATATTTCTATAGGAGTAACATAACTTTTATAGACATTTTTACTCAGTCTATAAAAAATGCCCCTCATGGTAAAAAATTGTTCTAAATTAAAAATCCAATTATTCTAAGGTCAGTAAAGTCATGAGATCACCCTCGAAAGGCTAAGGGAATTCCTCTGTCTGTTTTACTAGCCGCAACATATTTTGACACACATAACTAAAAATCCCTGGGGAAGAAAAGCCCACTTAGAATTGAAGATTAAAGTGCTTTCTTTAGGGAATTACAAGATGAATATTACACTACCTTCAAGGTGTGAAACAATTTGTGAGCCGGGTCTTTTCATTGATGTTTTTAATGACATCCTGTGAAACAATTTTGATGTTGTGTTATTACATAGAATGTCCCACAATTATCAGCATCATTATCCCAATTATGAATAATAATAACAAGTGTTTATTGTTTAAAGCCAGTCACTTTGCTTTGAATAATTTTTGAGAGAGGTTGAACTTCTTTGATGTTCATTATTAATTATTGGGCATTTATCATTTAATGGACATGGAACTTTTACTTCTTGCAAAACATTTTGTAATGATATGAGTTTGTGTGTAATTACCAATATATATCAGGTGTATTGTTTTTCATTAACAAGTATTGTAGTTTTATATTCATAGTTTTTATGTTATCCCTTTTAAATCAATGTTTTTTTTTTACTTCAGTGATATTGAAATGACATTTGTTGCTTTTTTGTGCAAATCAAGTCCAGCCTTTTTATTTTCTATTGAAAACATGGACAAACTAGTTTGTTTTACCTATTCATATCTATATTCAAAAAGATAATTAATTTAGCAATCTTATGTAATGTTTTGACTGGCATTTGTGGCCTCTTTAACAAAAATTATGTAAGCTTGAGATAATTGACCAGGTTTCCTATTCTCTCATTCTAGGTCTGTGTATCCTGATATTGAACCATGATGATCAGACATGGGTATGGGTCTACAGGAGTATCTTTCCATGTGTCTGGGCAGCCATGCTACTTTTCCCTATGATTCAGGTATAACTATCTCTCTCTCTCTCTCTCATACACACACCTCTCTTTCTCTCCTATTAAGCTTTCCTCAGGGGTATATGTATTATTTGACAATTTATTTTACAAAACATAATGTTCAACTTTACAGTAAGAAGTGGTGAAATCAAAATTACTGGCAATCTAATATACAGTTATTCTGCCTGTGTCATCCTTATATTGTATGCATATACTTCTAAATCAAACTCATATTAAAATGAAGTATTTGGCATGAATTGTCTCTGAAAAGCTGACTCCCGGCCTTATAGTCTTCTTAGGTTTATGTTGAGAAAAGCAATCAAGAATGATTGTCACTGCTTGTGTTAAGATCATTTCTCTTTGTATACTTCACTTTCCAATCTGTTTTGCTTGTAACTTTTGCCTACAGGCTGCCAGAATAAATGCCACCTGCTCCAAGTTCAAACAGATAGCCTTGGAAACCAGGGTGTTTGGCTACCAGAACAATTCCCAGCTGGATTTGGATTCCTTCCTCTTATTCATTTCTAATACAAGATTAAGGGTAAGACAGAATCTAACATTCTAGCACTTTTATTATTATTTTGTTTTTTTGTTTTTTTCTGTCGTAATATTCAGTTTTTTTTTAAGTGATAATATTCAGTTGCTAACACGTACTGATTTTACTTAAATAAAAAGGTTCTAGTGTATAGTTATACAGGTCTTGACTTTTTATTGCCTTATTTTTTTACTATAAAAATGAGACATTCATAAATTGTAAGTACTTGCTTGTCCCAGTGTCATTTCATTAGATATAGTCTGCAATTTAATTATTCTTAAATTTTGTCACATTTTATTTACAAGACAAAGCTTTTATTAGTGTCAACTTTATGTCATGCTTCTTACTTTATTATTATGTATGCGTGCATTGGATTAATGTATACTTCATTTGTTGACTGTTTATAAAACTTTTGTTTTACTAATTTCTAGGCAAAGTTGTTCAACATCCCAATGAAACCATCATACCTGGTGGGAATTCTGGTGCTGGTATCTTTTATATTGCTGCTTCTATTCCAAACAAGTCTGATTGGTCCTGGAGGACAGATATTCTAACAGTCAAATGGGACCTGTTGGGCAGATATTTAAAATTGTCACATGGGATCTGTTGGCAGCCAAATTTTTTCTGAATTGTCACTTGGAGCCAGGAGAACATATGTTCTTAGTGTCAAGTGGAATCTGTTCATTGATTTTTTTTTCAACAGTCAGGGAAGACCTGTTGGACAAATGGTCCAACAACCAGGTAGGACCTGTTATTGGGCACATTCTAACAATCAAATGGGACCTCTTGGTGTCTATCTGTCAAATGGATCCTGTTGGACAAATATTTTTAATTATCAAAGAGGACCTGTTGCTGGACAAATAAAATTCTAACAGTCAAATTTGACCTGCTTGTGGACACATTCTTACACTCATATGGGACATGGTTGACAAATACTATAACAGTCAAATGAGACCTGTTGGAGGTGGACACATATTCAACCAGTTAGACCTTATAGAATTATGTCACAGATGTCTGTTAATTGGATATTTACGAACCAATGGACCAACCAACATTGTGCAATGCAATATACATCTACTTCTTAAAGGGGCAAAATTATTGTTGTTGTGGACAAACTATGTTAACAGTCAAATAAGACCAGTCAGACCAATAAGAAAGAAAGATGTTGCTGGCATCTGTCAAGTTGAACCTGGTTCCTGTTGACATTTTTCGAAGTGTTGGTATTGAACCCTAAGATTCAAGCAGAAATATTGTTGGTGATCTCAGGTTTGGGGATGTTCTCAATGAATGCCCTAAAACTTGCCTGTGAGAGCTATATTATCAATTATACATTAAATATGTATGGGCATTTTTTTATACAATCGTATGATCTTTTTGAAGTAATTTGTAGTTAATCAGTTAAAATCACTTAATGGATATTTGCAAAGTTTAACAAAGTGCATTTACTGGATAAAATATTGATTAAGGATTAGTTTTGAAGTTTTACGTCAGTGAAAGTAAGTTATTTGTAAAATGCTACAAAAATATTGTGCCTCAAGCAACAAAAAATTTAATGGTTTACAGCAATCTTTCTGATGTAAAACTCAGTTGATACAATAAAATATATCAAGTAACAAGTAAACACATTTTATTTTCCAAAAATCATTTGCTATGTTGGCGTAAAGTTTTAAAATGTCTTTCTAAATATTATATAAAAAGTGGTAAAAGTACTTGTAAGATATTTATTGTATGTTTTCATTCAAGTTAGCACTTAAAATACCTTCACTGCTTTCTCACAATTCAATTTATATTTTCAAACATTACAAATGTAAACAAAAATTGCCAGGATTCAACTTTAGTTCTTTTTATGCTGACTAAAAATAACAATTGCACAGTGGCATAAAAATGGCATATTTTTCTAACACAATTGGCTTCCTTTTTTCTATTTTTAAATATAACTGTTAAGGAAAAATATGAAAACCTGGATTTCAGCTTGAAGTTGGCATTTCTTGCATATTCTACCAGTTTTTTTTTTTTTTTTTTTTTTTTTCCAACATTAAAATTTCAAAGCTTGAGTTACATGTTTTACACTATATTCAACATTAAAACAAAATATTTATGGAGGAACACATAACACAACATTCATTAATGCTTTGAGAAACTTGCATGTTTCTATGATGGTGATCTAAAATTTTAACACAGTCTTGGACTTATGGCATAATTAATATGATATTTATACTCTAATTGAAAATACATGTTCTTCAATTTTCTTCATCTTGGTGGCTCACTTTATATGATATAATTACATGAAAAATTCATTTCTGTTCAAACATAATACTTGAACCCAATATTGCAACACTGCCGAACCAGCTGTCATGGAATTCTTTTTTTTTTTTTTTTTAGATTTATGATATGTTTCTGTATAAAAAGCTTGCAATTTCCAAAACAAAATAAAATTATAATACATTGTAAGTACATAGTTATGTCTATGTAGAAGCAAAGGATTTCTAGCTTTAAAAATATCAAAAATCAAAATAAGCCGTATAAAAAAGCATAATATTTTAACATTAGTCCTATCTCATCTTTGTAGTTAAGAATCTCTGACTTGTTTAAAACCCTGTTTGGTTTCTGCTAAAAATGAATGACCACAAAATCCAGGAATGTATTTCACCTTACAGTCAACAACTGACACTAGTGCGCCGAAAATGGTCCCAACATGCAAATTCAGATCATAAATGATATTTCATGGTTTCAATCAATGAGTTAAACTATTATTGGACTGACGACCAGTCAAGTTGTTAAGCAATTGTCTTCCCCCATACATTTCCCCATGGTAAGGGGAGAAAATTGCTTGATCAATCCAATATTAGCCTTATTCATCCAAGTTGAGTAAGGCTAAAATGAAGATTTTTAAGATAATTTAATGGCAAGTTCATGGCAAGACCATTTCAGTCCACCAGAACAGTGGACTAACAGATATGGCAACCCACTAAAAAGCTTGTCACTAAATTCCCAATTAGACACTGAATATGTTCCTCACAGGGATTACGCACCATGCATTCAAGTGGGTCGACCATATTTGATCCACGGATCTGTTACTCTGCTTTTCTGAATGTGCTCTATAATGATTAAAACCATATAATAAGATCATTTGTAATCAAAAATTGCAGATTAAGACCAATTCAGGTTCACTAGAGTGAGTACTTCACAGCCAAACACTGAACACACCAATCTGAAACAACAGGAGCAGGATCAGAGCTATCAGCACCACTATTCCAAAGACATAGGAGGCTTTCACAGGGATCCCAAACATCTTGGCCTGCAAACATATAATTTATATTACATAGCTGTTGTTTTATTTTGGTATGCAAATAATGCTACTGTTAACATTTGTACAGTATGTGACAAAAGATGCATGATCATCAGTGAGTATTGCAAAAACTTTAACTTGAACGTGGGAACATATAAGACACTTTTGATAGCAACACAATTCTAATGTTGAAATTTATAAACATCATTTAAAAAATATTGTTTTCAATTTACTCACACAAACACGCACAAAGACATGCACTAAATGCTTAAGACATATTTAACTTTACCCTCATGTCCAAGGTGGACGTAAACATCAGAAAGGAGTCCAGTTCTTCTCTGTCCGTCCGCGAGTACACAAATGGCCGCGATCTCACCTCATGGCCTGACTTTCTCAGGGTTCGACACCATGCAGATACACGACAGGCCTGAATATGATGATTCTTTGATGTTATAAAGGTATAACAATATGGTAATTACTCGATCTTTTCAATGGAGGTAAATTGTGAATTTTATAGTTACGTAATCATATTTTTAAGTCATAATTTACTAAAACAGGAAAATTTTCTATCGAGTGGCAACAATAAAATTAAAAAGCAGGCTACTCTACAGTTTTATTCTATGCAATAAGATGCAATATAGAAATATAGATTTTTCTGATTTTAAAATTATGTACCTGAAAGTTTTATAACTTTTGCCCATTAAAAAGATTGAGTATTTACCATGTTGTCTTTATGGCTCAAATTACATGACATGGCACTTAAAAATGGCACTTAAAATGGCCACATGTGCATATCCTACCCTATCAGAAACAGCGTTACAGAACTCTCATGGCAATCCTATTCAACTAAGTCAGGGAACTTACTTAAATTTTTCGTGAAACCAGGGCCTGGGCTATCAAATACAATACCCACCTGAGCCACAGGTAAAGCCATTATAGACAGCCACAAACAAGTTGCCAACAAGGTGACAGTTACTGACAACCAGTTGTCTGTGCTTTCCTTCGTTAATATACCTTCAAAACCTGAAAGAAGCAAACAAGTGATTTTCATAATCATGTCCATCATGTCTTTTTCATATCTTAGTGATAAATATTTTCTTTTTTTCTTAACACCAAAGACTTTTGCAGCAAAAATGAGAGATTACTTTTTCCATGGAATTAAAAATGTTAAATTGAATTGACAGAGTCTTATGCAGTCCATGACCCCTGACTGATTAAGTGTTTGGCCCTACAACAGACATTCAGAGATTATATTTTAAATCAAAGCTTATGTCTGATGAATAATGAAACTAATTAATGTAGTCGTTAACTGCAAGACAAATATGCACTAGTTCATGAACTTACCTAAGATAATAAGAGTGATGAAGTTAAACATCAAAATGGATACTGCAGTGCCCATGCTTCTGTTTAGAATGTGAAGATTTTCTTCCAGGTCCATCACTTCCTGGAAAAAGTATGATAAGACCTTGACACTTTCAATAATTGCAAACTTTATCCTAGTGTATAAAACAGTTTGCTAATTCTTTTCCTCAATCTCTTATTAATACGTTTGTTTATTCTAATGCTTGACATCTGCATTATGCACAAATGCAGATGTTAACCTACCAAAGCCCTTTTTACATGAACTGGTATACTTAACCAACACAGTCTATATCAGTACAGTATAAAGACTGATTATTCTGTCCATTGAAAAGAAAGAGTCATCACCCTATTGCTAGAGTAAACTGCTGCCCTTACTTTCATAGCCTGCTCAAAGTCAACAATTTTCTCTTTGATCTTCTGGCACAATCCCTGTAGCAGATAGATGACCAAGGAACACTGGACGCTATAGTTAATGACCACAGCCACATAGACACAGTCCAGTACTGTGTTACCAATGACCATCAGACACATGAGAATGCCTCGACCCGCGTCAGTTCTAAAAAATAAAATAATAATAATGATAGAGAAACATTTTCGATACTTATCAGGTGCTGGTGATTATTATCAGAGTGTCCATTCCATGGGTCAGTTATTGGTCATTTATTGGTCAGTTATTTTCTAGATAGCCCTGGACATTAACTAAGATTAATGACCAAGGTTACATAATTACAGTACACTATCCAACTTTACAAAAAAATTAGGAAAAATTAGGAAAAAAACTAGTCTGAACTTAGAGACTAAAATTTAAGTCTCTTTGACTCATGGATGGTGGTGGGTGAGTTTCAAACTTTTTTTTGGTATCCCCAGTGTACCCTGAGCTTCAGAGTGTTATTGTTTCCTATCCATTGGTCAGTAAATTGCACCGTGAGTTTCACTGTGTCCATGCAACATAGCCCTAAAATTTCCGTCTAGAGAAAAAAGTGAAGAGCAGGTCCCCCCTACGCCATCCCTGACTGTAACACTTCATCACTGTGGAAATTCAATGCGGTAATGGCATGCATCTGAGAGACAGCTTCACTTGTACTGCTGAAAGGTGAACCCACCCACCTAACACAGATTTTGGCACGTTTTCTAGTCTCATACGATGTCACGCAGTACTGACATTCTGAATGATTGCCATGACGATTATATTAACTCTTACCCAGGGTCTCCTACCCAGAAGTGCACCTTCAAATAGCCACCATCAGACTCACTGAGGTACAGGCTGATGACATGGAGGACTTGATCTAGAAATGACAGGACCAGCCACAGGAAGCCAAGCCATAGGAACCATCTGCAAACACGATATCATTATAATCATCATTATATATTAAAGGGATAACAACTCTTCACATGAGTAAAATGCCATGAAATTTCTAGCCAACCAAATTACAGAATATTTGTTCACTGAATGATAAAGCAATTTATTAACATTTCTGTTTCAATTCAAGACCTTTTTTTTCAGAAGCAAATATTCCATCATCTGTCAAATGCACTCAGAGTTACAAAAGTAGTTTCTTCAAACATTAGATAATTTGTCATGCCTTACATGCCTCAGAGAACTAAAATTATAGAGTTATATAATATGTAGTTCTGAGATTAGCTGTAGTTGGAAGAAAATTTTACGGTAACACCAACTTTTTTCATGTTATTTACTACTTTTAATAATGTTTAACAGTATGTCACATGTTGTTGGTACCCCTCTGGTCACCTGTAAAAGTCATATCAACATTTCAGACAAAGGAAATTAATTTAGCTTGACATCCCCCATACCCAGATTTTCAAAATCAGGCCCACCAAATTTCAAGAATAACTTAAATTTCAAGAATAATTTCAAGAATAACTTAAACTTTTCACATCTGAAATTACCAGAACTTGCAGGATAGTAGGTCAAAATGGATGATTTGATATCTCCATCTTACCTCAGCGTTTTCACCAGCCTGGTTTGCGACAATCCTGTATGCTGCATCTCTGACTGCAGGAACGCCTGTGGTAAAATAGATGACATATATTTACAAGAAAATATTGATACATACAAATATCATCAATAAACCTAGACATAAATCACTAATCTATACGTTATATGAAGCATGTGCTCATTAGCTTACTTTTTTGCACATTTCTCTTTTACAAAAGAAAAATAAAGAAGTAAATTTCTAAAAATAAAATATAATACTGGAATGCAGTTTGCTTATAAAATTCATGCAAAATATCATGATTCTATCATAGTTTTCATAGACCTTATCAATACCTTTTCCATGAGCATTTCAAGTTGTTCACTTTTGGCAATTCGTATTATGTACCAGGCATAAAAATATGCAATCTCGTGAAGTATATCAGGAATAATAAACTGGCTGATCATGTAATGTTGGCAGTCACTGTAATTCCCATGTTTAGTCTCATTTCCAAGGTTTGGCTGGAAATAAAATTATTAAAATAATAATTAAATTAAAATGCACAAAAAAAAAGCTAAATCTAAAAAATAATATAGCTACGTTCTCACATATTCTTTCGTAAAAAAATTACAATGTCATCAGGGGCGAATCCAGAAATATTTTCTGACAGTCTTCCAAATTATCTTTGTTGATCCATCCTCCATTTCTGACCGTCTTTCGACAGAGTAAAATTAGATACTCATCCATGTAAATCTGAAAATCTGACCGTCTTCCGGAAGACCCAGAAGACGCCCTAAATCCGCCCCTGTGTCATGCCTTTTTTGGAATTCCTGGTAAATTATCAAGTTTACCAACCAAGGTAGAGATACGTATGTAGTCCATAGGAATGCAGATGTGGATGGCAATATGTCACTTTCCAACAGGTGAGTTAAAGGATCTGAATCCAATCATGTTTGTGACATTCTAAAGTATTCTCAAAAGGATGAAAAGCATACCACTCACAATAGGCACCACTAGTGACAGGGGCGGATCCAGAGATATTTTCTGACAGTCTTCCAAATTATCTTTGTTGATTCATCCACCATTTTTGACCGTCTTCCGACAGAAAAAATGAGATACCCATCAATGTAAACTTAAAAATCTGACCGTCTTCCGGAAGACCCAGAAGACCACCTAAATCTGCCCCTGAGTGACTCTCTGTCCCGCCAAAGACAATCTATACAAAAACATGCAAGAAATGAGACTCCATATCTCATAAAAATTAAGAACACCACTTACAACAGGCACCACTGGTGGTCCCCTGTCCCGCCTAAAGCACGCCAGAAATGAGATGACATATCCCATAAAGATAAAGAACATCACACAGACAAAGTAGACAACGTTTACGGCATCAACCCATTTAGACCCCTCATACGTCAAAACAATGGGCCGCCAGCCAATCTGAAATAATACAGAAAAAAAAGAAGGAATGTAATAACCAATATGGCATGAAAAAGGAACCCTCAATATTTGTTGTAGAACTACAATTTCAAGCACAAGGACATGATAAGTATGATCATAATTATTTGATAATTTTAACCCTTAAACTGTTTGAGAACCTGGGAAAAGTAAAAAATTTACAAGGGATAGGAATAACAGGTATGGTTTGAGCACCTGGGTACAGTTAAATACTTACAAGGGATAGGATCCACAGGTATGGCTTGAGCACCTGTTGCTTGCACTTGTTTAGAGATACTGTGGTCGGATTGTCTGGAGGAAAGATTCCTCTTTGTGCATGGACAGCTGGCTGCAATAGAAATAACAGTATATTTACTGATGATAATTACAGTATATTGTTTGATGTATAATAAAAACAAATTGTACAGCTATCAGTATGCTAAAAGATTCTTAAAAACCTTATTATGGATAGAGAGAAAGATCCCAAGGTGCCCAAGTGTGGTCAGTCAATGACAACAAATATCTATCAAACATTATTCTATATACACAAGTGTCAATAACTTCTTTTCACTTCCATCAATTCAAAGAGAAAAAAAATCTCCCTATGAAAACATTTCACATAGAAAGCTAAGGTTTTCCTAATGGCAGTGTGGTTTCTCCAATCTCACCATATACTGTTTAATCTTTTCTAAAACTGTCCCTCCATCAGGGTCAGAGTGGTGTCTGTGTTTCCTGTATTCATATCCACCTCTGAAAGAGTAGAAAACTCACTGGGTTATTTACATGCATATGTCTGCATTTCCTTAAGATAAAACTTTACAATAAAATAACATAATGCGCAAACTATTCAATATGTACATCATTATGCAGAAACAGTCAATTTTAAACATGCTAAAAGATATCGTAATATTTTCAGGTCCCACTTGAAAGCTTGCTGCGTAATGCCTCCAGGGAGCTTGCAAGTGGAACACCCAATATTTGATCTGCAGCTCATTTAGTTCATGGATAAACTTGGTTGTGAACAGAGACTTCTACTAGTAACTGTGTTATAACCTCTACCAAAGGTGTGAAGGCCCCTCCTAACCCTGTACTAAATGTGATTCCACAGAATTGAGCAAGTCTTAGGGACCATTCCCACAGATATTTGGATCGATCTAACTCCCTGGGGAATCTCACTTAATTGCTATCAACTTAACCAGCTCAAATGTCTGTCACACCTAGTAAAGCTGTTAGGGGGTAATTATCTTCACCCCCTAGCTGATTCGGTAGGCGTGACAGGCACTTAAGCCGGTTAGTTGATAGCAATTTAGAGAGACTCTAAAAGGAGTTAGACCGATCCAGATGGATCGATCTAGGCATGGGAACCCAGTCTTAGACAAGGACCCAACTACNGTCCGACGGCTTTCGCAATCACTGCACCTGACTTATACTTGAAAATATGAGAACTTACCTGTAGGTGCTGTTTACTACTCGGACTGGTGGTGGGGTCTGTGAGGCAGCTCCATAGTCTACTAATTCTTTTTCCTCATCCACTGAGACAAGCTGAAATGGAAACAAGGATATTTAATAACAGTAACTTTTGCATTTAAAACCTTTCCAATCATTCTTCAATTCACCTATTTTTCTGAAGATTTTTTTTTCACTTTGGCAAATTTGGTCGTTTTGGCGTCTTTCACAGCAGGATCAACCGTTTACTATCCAATCAAGGTGACAGCCGAGCGTGAGCAGGATGATCACAGGATGATGTCAGGACGCGCACCAGTCAATAGTGTATGCGCAGTACCACAAACCATTCGATTTTTTATAAAAACGAAAAGCGAAACTACTGCATGGTACCTGTAGGTGTGAGTTCCAACAATTCATTTCTCTATATCTGTGGCTAAATATATATCTAAAAATATCAGAGAAGTCCGACTTTTTATCTGCGTTTTCTGTTGCTCAATTTTGTGCTAGATGTAGCATTCAACCTCAACACAACGGTGCTTATAAAAGGCCGTACTAACGGGGTGAACGAGTATGGAATATTTGAGCTTATCTTTTTATTAGCCGCTTCAAATTCAGTCTAAGGCAGCTTTAATATGAATGCATTCATTAAATTGATCAAGGCATGCTTCACTCCATGCTCGATTAAACATACAACTTACTGGTTCCGATTCCCCGGAAGAAGAGGCCATGCTAACGCCTGCAAAATCAAGAACACTTCACGTTGATTCTCATGTTGTTATTTCTTCCTCGTGACCCAATTATTTTGGTGACCTAGATTTACGACATCAAAGAAAATAATTTCAATATACCACACAAGTAAATGGTTGAAAAAGTAAAAATACTGATCTAATGTGCTTTAAATTGTATTTTTTATTGTTTAGTAATTGATTTGTTTGCCTGTTATCACAAATAAAGAAAAAGAACAGTGATTACGCCTTACCGTCAGGGGGTACGGGGTATGTACCATGTTGCTCACAATGGCTTGGTCAGTTAACAATTTATTTGTCATAATAGGATTGGTTTCATTAGGACATGCTGCTTATTCTGCAACACAGCGTAAGTATGATATTTCCGAAAAATTAATATGTATTAAGAAGAGATTTTCAACCCCTTGAATGGAGTTTACCGTTCATATTTTTGTGTAAACTATTTGGCAGATGTCCGACTCTTTCACGTTTCCCAGTTTAAAAACGCACGAACTAATCAAATGTATAGTCTCACTGTCAAAGAAAGTTCCTAATAAATTTTGAGCACAAATCCAGATACAATAGCCAAAATACCCAATTCCATGTTATCTCGATACTCTGTCCCATGCACAGCGTTAAATTATTTTAGCGGATTAAAGTCTTAATTAAAGACGGATTTTAGAATTCATGTTGTCATCACCATTTTAAAAATTTCAGATAGAACATATTTAAGGTTAACAGAACAAGAATTTACCTGGCTTCCTGCTGATGTAAGTGTTGCAAATGTGAGAAAATGCTGTTTTCTGAATTATTTCCTTGTCAAGTATATCAGTAATTATTTATTTTAAAAGTTATTCCTATTAAATGTAGTTGAAATAAATAAATAAAGTTTACAAATGGAAAAATTTTAGTATGGGTCTGTTGGCAAGATTAAATGAAATTAACTTTTTCTAGTGAACTGGTGTCCTTAATTATTTTTGATTACTCTCTGCTTTCCAGTAATATACATAATATGTTAATGGTAGACAGCTGTTCATTCTAATAGTGTGTATATATATATATATATATATATATATATATATATATATATATATATATATATATATATATATATATATATATATACACACACACACACACTATTAGAATGAACAGCTGTCTACCATTAACATATATATATATATATATATATATATATATATATATATATATATATCCGACGTGCTATTTCAGATACTTGCCCAGTGTGTGCTAAGTCTATTACTCACATGTTATGGAATTGTCCAAGTCTCTGGAGAGTTTAAGGATATCAGAGCTGCAGGAGAACTAGAGAACAAGTAAGAATTCTTCTGTGTTTAATATTCCCTGTGATATGCTAGGAAAATTTGTCTTAACGCAAATAGTATAGGCTCTTTGACACCCACCCCCAACCCCCACCCCATTGTGGAAAATTATGATGAAGTTCGTTAATACATATTGCAGTTTGGTATCAATAAAAGAATTAAACATTTTGCCAAATTTATCTAAGCTTTGGTCCAAAGTCTTAATTTGGTAATTCTCTGTTTTGTTAAGTGGAAATGGATCTTTTTTTATCTGCTAATTGGGCTTTTTTTTCCACATATCTGACAATTCACTGATGAAAAGACCTCAAGTTCTCAGGACAAACTAATGAGCTGCATTTGGGAAAACTTAAAAACTGATGGAATCAAATACTTTGGTTTCTCGGGATGTATTAATGTGCTTTTGCTTAGTATCTGTATATTTACCACCATTACTGTCTAGTTATGTATTTTTGCTTCATTTCAGAACATGGGAGACACTCAGCAACAGACCATCATTTTACACGTTCAATCATAGAGGAAAAGCTCTGTATGCAGATATGGAAGATCACATGCAGGAAGATGTTTCTTGATCCTGTGTTCAGGAGGCCTTTGAGCCACTGAGCATTTTTTCTTATAAAATCCAAAATTCTTTTTTACAACCCAAAATCACATATTAACTATAAAACTTAGCAGCAAAATATGCCTACAACCTATTTATGTTGGGGATAACTTATATTTATTGTTGGAAAAGATGGCAGAAAATGTCAGTATGTCTGAATGTCAAGGTGGTGGAAATGCTTAAAGGAATTCATATTGACTGTTTTGATGGAAGAGTTACTTGTACCCAGAAATGACAATTCTGGTGATTTGGAGAGGGTGGGGAATGCCATGAGTACTTTCATCTTTTTATATTTATATATAAATCTTTATTCACTGTACCAGCCTTTTCTTTCTGTCAGTTTCTTGGTATTTTTTAAAATCCAAATGATGTTTATTTATTTATTTATTTATTTTAATGCGGGTATTTGTCCTTTTTCTAGTGTGGACTCTTTGAAAGTGATCAGTGCAATTAAACCAATAAAAATCACCTTTCTGTTTTGTATGTAATTAAAAATGCATGAATATGATAAATACATAATATTACAGTTACATGTAGTTTTGCATTATTGAAACAATCTAAATGTTACATATTAACGAGTAGTCCAGCAGTGAAATACTTTTCTTATACCTGCAGATGGACAATCCAGTATTCTCTATTTTTATTTACTTAATGTTCTAGGTCATCCAGCAGTCCATGTTCTCAGTGTAAATGTTTTAAATGACCCTTTACTCAATGTAACTGAATATTAAATATTAAGGACAATTTTGTGTTAAGTGCAGCCTTATTTCATTTGAAAGCTGGAGTAAAAGACATTTTTGTTTTGATGCTTGGACCCGTAAGAAGCCGCTCGATGTGAAAGTAATGAGAGAAGCCAACAAGAAACCAATATTTCAGGTGTGATTAATAATTTTATTTAGAAAATCAGTCTGCAAGGCCCTCCTTATTTGGATGCAACTTTTAAATTAAAATTGTTACTCAGTTTGTGCAAGTGGAAGTTCAAAAAGATCACTTCGTAAATAAACAAACGGCAGCATAAATCCAAAATGCTTCTCGCTAACTTTCTTAAAGCCGTATTTCTTATACAGTGCTCTGGCTTCGAACCTCGTTTCATCCGAACTAAGAGCTACAGTTGAATATCCATATTCTCTACAGTAGTTTATAGCAGTCTCCAACAGACGGCGCCCAAAGCCGCGGCCACGACAAGCCGAATCCACGAACATGTGATTCACCTCTCCGCAACTTGGCGACTTCTTCAGAACAGCACCGGTGCCTATGATTTTCCCTTTCTGCTCGATGATCCAGAAGGAATTACCCTCTTTAGTGGCATAATATAAATAAGGATCGTTCATATCCGGGTACCTGTTGTTTTTCTGTCGAATAATCCACAGGGATCCGACCAAGAAATGGACCGATAGAACCGTCGTCGCTATTACTATGGCGGTCGCAAAGCTAGCAGTCCTGAAACCAAAATGCAATATCGTTGCAATCAGGAGAATGTAACAAAGAGTCGCCTTACTGGTTATAAAGTAAATATACAACCGTCTTGAGAGAACATGTTTCGTGATCAAAGCAGTTTTTATTATCTTGCTAACATGACTGCTTTCGGTCTCTCTTATTTCACGGATCGTGAAGTCGTCTTGTGAGTGCGAGTCGACAACGTCATTCCGGAAAGGCTCTCGCCTGTGTAAAGTCTCTTTGTCCGAATTTAGAGTGCCCAACATGTTGTGCACAGCGAACCCTGCAACGTCAAGTCACGAAAACCCGGGCCCCTTCTCGACGAAAAAAAGACCACACCGTTTGAATCACCTGTGTACTATCTCACGGTGCAACTAGGTCAGTGCGGAGAGCTCTTCAAATATGAAGGACAAAAAATAACTCGGCGCGAATTTTGGGTCTAAGGATACTACAGGTTTAGCACTTGCCAAAAACTTCTTATTTACCGGTACGGCCTTATATACATTCTTTTGAATAACAGATATATCTTTAGTGTTCAGTGACAAAATTAATTAACATTTACACACAAGTCATCTTTGACGTCATAATTGCGAAATGGAAAAATCGGTTTCTCAAAAATTTCCTATACCTGAGCACTCACTAATACCGTTTCACTGCCAGATTAATGAAACCATTTAGTACCCCAAAATCCTTTCAGGGAGTTTTCTTAAACGCTTTAGTTCAGATTTTATTGTTGATAAATCCAAATAATGCGTTTGTTTAATGAAAATTTGTAATTAAGGGCTCATAACTCCATAACAAAACATTTAAACTAAAATGACAACACGGGATTGAAGTCCATACAGTTGTTGTAAGCTGTGACAATTTTCGTGATAAAATCTTATTCAGGGATGAAGTTTCACCCCATACCGTGAAAAGTTAACACCCGTACATGTACACGTGAGCGATTGATGGGAAAGTGCATATATATTCTTCTAAAAAGCGGAAAATATCAGGATAGGAGCGTTTTAGTGCGTTTGATTAGTTAATCGTTCTACATAATCAAAAGCCTTGCACCCCCCCTCCAAAAAAAAAAAAAAAAGGAAAGTAAACTTAACACTCTTTCAACAGTCTCCAAAGTTATCGATCATTTTAACATTGTGATGTAAGGAGAGGGATACATGTAGTAGGCTTACACTTATCAATGATGATGAAATGTATGATGAAATGTATTGTCTTTTAGAGTGACATATGTCAGTTGATTCGACTTATATATTACAGAAGCACCAAAGAATTTTTTTTCAGTTAATCTAAATCCATTTACATATCAATAAAAAGGAAAGCGAGTGCGTGGTGGTTTATTTTTATCATTATTATTATATGACTGTTTATATATGCTCTATATGTATAAAACATGTACAATAACAACTAGCCAAGCCAGCTAAATACTTCTATATTCATTAAACCAGTAATAGCCCTATATGTTCGTTATTTGTTCAGATATCTGGCGGATATACGTGTCCCGTGTGTATTGCAGGTTGAGCAAGATAATAGTTATTTTGTTGGCAGGCAAAAGGAAAAATGCTATTTTTATGTTATATTTTCATATGCCAGAAAACAAAAATCAAGTTTAAATTTTTTTTTTTTTTTTTTTTTTTTTCAGTTCCAGTGACCTGACAAAGCTACGGTTCTAACTTCCGATTGGAGCAAAGAATCCCCTAACAAGTCCCGAAAAAAACACCTCAATAGATACAATCACCCCAAAAATCAACAAACAAATGTTATCTCTTTAGAACCGTGTCTGTTGCGGATCGTGTCCGGGTGGAAAAAACACCTCGTCACGTTCAGCCGACTGTCTGGTTTGCGAGCTATGGGCGCTACTCGGCGAGGTCATTCCGCTCACTACCCTCGTTTGCGGGACACTCAATGGCTCGTCGTATACGCTCCTGGCAACCAAAACTTCCCTATCCTGGTCGCGATCGAGGTTCGCTGCAATACTCCCAGCGGGGTACAAAGCAACATGAGAGGTGCTTGTCGCTCGGACGAGATCCACGTCGTGGTGGGGGCTTCTTTTGCTTGCAGCCATCGTGGACGAACTGTCGGCAACCACGTTCCGCCCCACGATAACTTCGCGAGAATCTCGTTTGCTCGGGCTCATGACGTGGCTCGGTCTTATTGAGAGATTGTAGACGGCGTGTGGATCGTTGACTGGTGGGTACAGGACCTCCTCGAGCATTCTGGCGGTAGGTCCTGCGGTGTTGTAGGAGTAGTGGCTCGGGGCGTAGATAGATTCTTTGTCGTCTGCTGGTCGTTGGAGGGTTTCTGTGTATATCGTCTTTTTTTTCTTTCTTGGCTGACACGAAAGAAGAAAAATAAAAAATGAGGCGAGTGAACAATTTTGTACATCTTTCTTTCTAAGGGCCATAATAATAATAATAATAATAATAATAATAATAATAATAATAATTTAAACCACTCTACACAAACGTTTCTTCGTTGATAAAGATACGTGTATCATCAAAATCATAAATATAATGCACTAATTTATAATCCTTTAAGTTAATTTTTTTATTTTCCTTTAAAGATATCATAATTGCAGTAAAGAGAAATTTTGGACAAATTTGACCATAACACAGGAACTGCAATCTGGAAACTCCCTTCTCTGTATGTATGTCTTCAGATTTGCCTGCGGTGTGACAGGAATGGTAGCCCTAGGAATGATAAGTACAGGGTTATTTGGAGTATTGGGGTTAGTATATTGGACGAATGTCACCTGTACAAAGCAATGGGAAGCGGACTACGGTTCCTAGCGGTCTTATATTCCTGTCACAGCGGCACTGTCCACATTATGGCTGCATTCACAACAGTAACTAACTAGTTCGCGGGCCAAATGTAGCGACCGACTACAAAGCTTGCCGTCTAACTTGCTAATAGACACTGAATAGATTCCCCGTGTGGAAGTATTGGGTCGGCCATATTTGATCCGTGGACTAGTTAGTCCGCTGTTCTGAATGCGGCCTATGTCCACTCACCCATGTGTGCCAGGCCATGAGGTCCTCATCCCCAGTGTCCAGAGATCTCATGTAGCTGACCACTATCACATAGGAGTGGATCTACAGCGTAAAACATAGGGAAAAAAGTAAACAGAAAAATCGAGCTTTGACTGGAGACCATTTTGAAGCCAAGTTAAAACTTATTTAATCGCAAAGGAATGTGGATTTTATCAAAGATTTTATTTGCATACACTGTATAGACATGTTTACATATGTTTGTTGCTGAATTTGATGTTCATATAATATCAAATATTGTTAAAGCCCAAACTTTGAAAGGAGATAGTGTGTAAAAAATTCCTTCTTCAAAGGTTCGTAGAGAGGATTTAAGTAACATGTACCATCATTACGGGACTACTTACAGTTATGCCTAAAACTACACCAAACACCACTGCCAGAATGATGCCAACATACCAACTGATGCCTACAATTGTAAAACTCTTGAATAAAAGTCCACATGGTGAAACAAACAAAATTAGTGTTTAGGACGGTCAGATGTACGTATTCATTTTTAAATACCTAATTAATTTAAATTAATTTAAAAAACCTTTTATACGAATGCATGAAGGACGTATAGGAAATAAAAATAAATTATTAAAGTATCATTTGTTACTTACTTAGTGGATAGAGAAGGGCAAACACCACCACAAAATGCATTAGACATGCAATTACCGTCATCAACAGCCAGGGGAAAAACAGGCAAGAGACTTTCTGTGAAATAAAAAAAAATTAAATATTATTCTATAAAATCCTTGCCATAGCGGTGCAAGTTGCGGTGAATTACTTTTTTTGGGGATGTGAGATCGACTTGGAATCACAGTAAATAGACATACATTTTCACACAAAAAACTTGAGTCAGGTTCCCTGGCTAAGAACTTAATTACCAAGGTTACGTGGTGATATGGACACCTCAACATATCAAGAGCAGTGTAACGGCATTCTCATGGTTCCAAACCCTAGTCAACTAAGGCGGGGAACTGACTTAAGATTTTTTTTGTGAAACTGGGGCAAGGCCTATAGACGTATATTTATAGTATAGTTATAAGGTGGAATTGTTTCTCGGACATTGTCACCCAAGCTCACCGTCAATACTCCAACCAAAAGGATGACAGCTGTGATAAGCCAAACGGCCGAGATGACCAACATGATACATATCGCTATGAACACCCAGTCTAAGAGGACCTGTAACACTGAAACGAAAGAAAACAAGTCCGCATTAAACAATGAATAAATTATGAAGTTAGGACAACTTAGCTTCACTCGGTGACTTTTGAAATATTGATGGCTTTTACTTCATTCATATATCTATGGTGTATGTTAACAATCTCGATTCGTGGAGAAGTAAAATGACCAAATACCCGGGTCATTTGTGGCCGAGGGATATTAGAGAACGAATGGGGTTGGATTTATTCTGATTTTTTTTTGTTCAAGGCAAAGATTTGCACGTTGTTGTTGTAATAATAATTATTATTATAAAACTTCGTTTCCACTGAACACCAAAACTCAGATATGTGGCCGTATATTCGGCTAAATGACGGGTCAAAAAGAAAACTGATCTAAAAAGAAATATTCTGTACCTGAGTTTTAATTACAACCGCATTAGTACCGATGACGCCAGGAAGACTAATTAATCATGCATTTTCCATCTATAATCCCGTTTAAACCCATTAAGAGCACATAGTCTTACCTGTGGTGGGCCACAAAGCAATCGTCACTATGCACGCTGCTAATAACAAGGCGCTCCATATCTTGAAATTGAAGCGGAACAAAAAATTACAACAATACAAGACAAAGCAGGTCTATATTTTGAAATAAACACACAGTTCCTATCTCTATATCTATTCACATTGCTTTAGAAATACGTTTTATATTTAAAAACAATTGAAGAGCCGTATAAATTCTACGCGCACAAGTTTATGTGAAATTATAATGCAAATCACAGTGTCAAGACGACATAATACTCTGTTACGTGCATGGTTTATGTTCCCCACACACTTGACCCGACTGCTGTCAAAGAAGCCGGCTCTGCATGAGTAGGTAGAAATAAACAGACTTGTAAAGTCTGCATAAGTACATGCCTTCATAGACGTTCACTGCTGGGTGGCA